TTTTTTTTTTTTTTTCTTTTTTCTAAATGTCATTTTAAAGCTTACAATTCCAATTAATCTAGAAAGAAATTTAAGAAAGCAGTATCCAAAAATGTAAAGAGTTACAAAACTATCTTATATTCAGTATAAAAGAATGACTGGGGCCGGGTATATAGCTCAGCAGCATAAGCACCTGCCTAGCAAGCTCAAGGACTGAAGTTTGATCTCCGGTACTGTAGACCTTGCTGGGTACGCTAGGCACACCATGCTGGCCACCAAAACTGGGCATGGTGACCACATGTCTGTAATCCCAGTGCTGGAGAAGCTGAGACAAGAGGATCACTATGAGTCTAAGCTGCGTAGTGAGTCCCTGTACCAACTAAATAAATAAATGATTAAGAAGACCATGTAGGTCTAGTCAGATAGATCAACTGATTAAAGCACCTGCTTAGGCAAACTCAGGGACCAGGGTTCAATCCTGAGGTGCCCTGCTGTCCCCGCCCCTGAGGGTGCGCTGAGACAGCGACTGAGACTGGGCATGGTGGCACGTGCCTGTAATTCCAGCACTTGGGAGGCTGAAAACTGGAGAATCACTATGAGTCTGATCTGTGTAGTGAGATTCTATAGACTCTGTTTTATATATATAGTGCATATAGTGTGTATATATATATATAGTATATATAGTGTATATAGTATATATATATCTATACATCTCTCTCTCATATATATATATGAGAGCCATAGAAACTTACGTTAAAAAAACAAAGAGAATGACTTGCTGGAGTCCAGTTAAATCTGAAACATATCTAGGAATTCTGAAGTGTTTTTGAGGGCAGTGATGTTACTGGAATGAAGCACAGTACTCCCAGCACTTGGAGGTTAAGACAGGAGGATCACTATGAGTTTGAGATGGGGGGGGGGCTACAAAAGTGAGCACAAGGCCAACCTGAACTGCATAGTGAGATATTGATTTGTTTTGAGACGTTGCTTCTGATTAAATATCCAAAGACTTGTTTGGAGACGACTCAGAGATTAAATGAATTTTTAAAAAAAAGACAATTGGGCTCCTGAGCTGGTAAATACCAGTGAGAGTGTTCCCAGGAGGAGCGATACTGTTGTAGGCAGCTGAATTTGATAGAAACATTATAGGCAGTAAGGCAGGGTCAGGCCCTCAAGGAGACACTCCCATATAGGCCAAACTTCAAGACAAAAGAGGAAACAAATACAGCTACGCACTTCCCTAGGGATGGGCATCAGGGATTGATATTCTAAACAGGTGTCAATCACCTTGAAACAGCCCAAATAAGTCACTAACCCAACCTCTAACAGGAAGAGTCCCTGTCCTGTGTTCATGCCCGCTTGTTATGTGACTCGCTTCCTCATTTGGTACTATATTTAATCAATCTTAACTGAGCAATGGTGCTTGTAATCCCATTGGTTGACCATAGCTTTGTCCCACCTCATGCCCACCTAAACGAGTTCCCATGTTCTCCACCACCTTAGACCCACCTTACTGCATGGTGTTCCTCTATTAAAAAAGTCTCTGAAAGAGACAGCTTCCCAGGGACCACCTGCTCGGGCCCCCCTTCTGTTTCTCTCTTTGACATACGCTTTCTTTCCCCCAATAAATATATTCTGCTCATAAACCTCCGTTTGTTCCTAAAATTCATTCTTCGGTTTTAGAGAACACGAACTCATTCCAGGTAACTTTCCGGAGTTTAATTTTTTCCCCTATATTATTTGAAGGCCATCCACTGAGATCAGTTTTTACCCTGTGTCAATACGCTCCAGTGAGCCTGCTGCTCATGGATCCACCCCAAATCATCTCCGATACCTGGACAGGAAGCAGGCAGAGCCCGGGCCTGAGCCTCCCTGGGGGCCTGGCTCACCAGGCTCAAGCCCCGAAGGACTGGTGCATCCTCGGTGAGGTCAAACACGGAGAGCGTTGCAGGAACTGGTGGGGCAGCTGGAGCCGGCGACATGTCTGAACCGGGATTACTTAGAAGCAGCTCCTGGAGTTAGAACGGGAGTTAGAAACAGCGACTACCAGAGCGAAGAGCTACTGTCACGTCTCCCGCCAGCCTGCTTTAGTTTTCCCCAACCTACAAAACCCGTTGGCCCTCAGCCTGCCATTAGGAGTCAGCTCCGCGGTAAATACGTAACCCCGTTCCATTTTCTTAAACCCCTGGTCTCAGACCCCAAAAGGATAATGGTAATGGGGAGCACCAGCTCCAAATCGAGTCCCACAGAGTTGATTCACTCAGTTAATCACTGATGCTATCTATCAGACCTTCATTACCCGAGAGATAAGGTCCGGCAACGACTGAATCGCAGACTCTCCCCTGCCCTCAGAAACTGCAACAAGCTTCCCCGGAGCCAGATAGGCGCGCAAGCCTTATTCGAAAGTCAGATTTCTGCAACACCACAACAATCCAGGCACTACGGGGTCGCGAAGAGGACAAACAGCGTCGCCTTCACCCGAGCCCCGCCCCACCTCGAGTATGTGATTGGTCTTCTGACCTCCAAGCCCCGCCCCAAGCTTTTTGTCCCTCCTCCTGCGCCGGAGAATTGGCTATTGTGTCTCCACCCACCATGTTCATAGGTCAGACTAGCTGAGGGTGACAGTGAGTGGCAGTCGCCGGGCCTAGCGCTTCAGTTCGGGCCGAGCCGAGCCGAGCCGAAGAGATCGAGTGTGGAATCGCCAGGGTCGCGGTTTCTGAGGTGACACGCGAGACTGAGTATTGAAAGCCCGGGCCCAGGCCGAACCTGGCCAGGGTGCCCACGGACACCAAGTGAGCTGGTGGCGAGTAGCTGGGGAAGGGGGCGCCTCGGGCGGGGCGGGGGCGCGCGGCCGGAATGTTTTGATAGCGGGCGCGCGCGGGAGGGGGCGCGCATGAGCGGCGGGACCGCGCACGAGGTAGACCCGCTGTTGGGAGCCAAACCCTACTAGGCTCGGGGCCGGGCGACCCTAGGGCTCCCTGAACTTGGGCTGGCGGCTGGGTGTGGAGAAGCAAATCCAGCCAACGGGGATATCGACCTCTTCAACATCCGCAGGAACCCATAAGCCAGGCCCTGCCTGCTAGGGATCCCTGGGCCCTGGGTCTGTCCTGACCCGGTGAGTGGTGAATTCCCTGAGAGACAGGGCTGTCACCCAGCAAATCCCGTTGGGCTCATATGAGGCCAAGACCCACGGTCCTCAGGGCCTGTGCTGTCTGGGTGAGTACCATCTTGACCCTGCCTCGCTCCAGGGATGCAGGAAACCAACAGATTGACCCAAGGATCTAGGTCTGCATTGATTTGGAATATCCTATGCAGACTGTCTGCTGGGTCTTTGGTGGAAAAAACAAAACAAAACAGGAGAGGTGGACCAGAAAGATCTTAGCAAAATGCACCTTGGGGTTTTGTGGACCCTAAAAGGCATGTCTAATTTCTGAAACTGGAGTGGGGCAATGGAGACAGTCCAGAGGGGCCACCCATTCTCCAGCCTGTACTGCCTCAGTCTTCACAGGATCAGTACATATCCTCCCTGGTATCTTAGATGCAGGTGGGTGACCCTGTATAGTACAGCCAGAGGAGAGGTCTCACAGACCTAGGCTGGAAGGTGCTTCTTCTTCACTGTGGCCTCCCTGCTCTCCCCCTTGTGGTACTTGGGTGAGTGGGAGGGTTGGGATTCTGTCCCTACTCATGGCTCTCTGGGGCCTGACACCTTCTCCTCCAGCAGCTGTCAAGCCAGGGCATCGAGGGCTGGAGTGGAGCAGACACTGTCCATGGAGCTGGTAGGGCCATGTGCTTGTCTTAAATCTTTGTTTACAAAATCCTTTCAAACTGCTAGTCTCTGGGGAAGCCAATATATCCAGGAGGGGAAGGGGGAGGGAAGTTTCCTCCTACTAAGTAGAACATGAAAAAGCCCCCCCACACACCAAAGGGGCAGATTCTGGCTGCAGGCTAGCAAGGTACCAGTGGACACCCAGTGAGGTTCTGGGAGTGACTGATCATAGTTAAGGGTCCCCTAAGCTCCAAGCTTACTCCTCTCCTTGGCTAATAACTCTCAGCCAAGGAGGCTGGTGGTGAAAACAAGCCCAAGAATTTTTTCTCACCCCTGCTCTACTAGGCAGAGCAGCAGGTGAGCAACACCTGATTCTGAACCAGGATCTTTTCCTCCTCACACTGGCAGGTGGACAAGGTGGACAGGGGGCTGCGGTGATGGCTCAGTTTGACACCGAATACCAGCGCCTAGAGGCCTCCTATAGTGATTCACCCCCTGGGGAGGAGGACTTATTGGTGCACGTGGCTGAGGGGAGCAAGTGTGAGTTGCTGGGGTATGGGGAGAATTGAAGGAGTGAGGGGCTCTTGTTCCTTCAGGGCGCTGACATTTCTCTTCTCTGCCCTCAGCACCTTGGCACCATATTGAAAACCTCGATCTCTTCTTCTCTCGAATATCCTTGGCATTTCTGTGGTGGAGCTCTGAGACCTTTAGCCCTTCTCTGAGTCAGGTCCCTGAAGGGAAATTGGGGTAGGTTGAACTCTAATCCCAGGAAGGGGAAATGACATCCTGAGGCTGAAAGAGGATAGCAAAATAATGATCATTAAAAATAATGATACCTTATACTTACTGAGATCTCTGTACCTGTATGCCTTTTGTGGTGTTGATTTATAAGCAGGCTTTCTCAGGGTGATCCTCCTCTCTGATGGGATTTTAATCATGGTAATAGTTAATGTCTTTTGACTCATTCTTTGTCAGCTCTGTGTCCAGTACCCTGCCTGGATTTTCTTGAATCTAGTAATCCTATAATAAGATAGGTATTACTATCCCTAATTTCCCACTGTGGACATAAACTTAGAGAGGTTAAGTAACTTGTTTAAAATTATATTCTAGAGAGTCACAAAGCCAGGACCTAAGTTTGGGTGGGTAACATCAAATCAAGATCTTTTCTCACTTGGGACATAGCTCATGGCACAAATGCCTGCCTCGTAAACCCAAGGTCCTGAGTTTGATTCCTGGTACCAAAAAAAAGTCTGTGTTCTCAGTTGCTCGTTACTGACCACTTTTTCTTAACATTTACACGTTTATAACCTACACCAGAAGAATGGCTTCACATGTATGCTCATTGGGGAGATCTTTGAGCTCATGTAAGTATGTGAAAGGGAAGGGACAGATGACATGGTAAGGGAATACATCTCAGTCTTTCTTCATGTGCCAGTATCTGGCTCCACTGGCCATAACACTCAGGCAAAGGCTCAAAACGCTACAAAACCTCTATAGTTCTTGACCTGTGTAGCACCAAAACATACAGCCTCACCTCTTACAAAAGAGCTTTCTAATTTTTTTAAAAGTTTTTAATTTTTTTTTTTAATGTGTTTAGTACAGGGTCTGCAGTCTCACTATACAGATTGGACTCATAGTGATCCTCTTATTTTCAGCCTCCCAAGCACTGGGATTACAGGCATGTGCCACCACGCCCAGTCTCCATCTCTCAGTGCATGCTGGGGATGGGGCCAGCACAGGCACACTGGGGATCAAACCCCAGTCCCTGTGTCTGCCCTAAGCAGGCACTTTAATCCGCTGAGCTATCTGGCTGGCCAGAAGAGCTTTCTAGATTGTTCCCCGAAGAGAACTTGAAAGTGTGTCAATCATTTTGTTAGAGTTTCAGTGGGATGTATATGGTCCAGTTGGGCACTCACAGGATGGCAGCGCTTTTCTTGAGGACCTCTATGCTGCTTAGGGCGCACCTGAAGTTGTTGCTGGACTGCAGCCTTCTAGAAAGCAGTCTTATGGTGTTGCCAAAGGAAAAGGAATTGGGAAGCCCTCCCTCAATGAGAAGAGTTCCTATCTGAAAGAACTTCTGACTATACTCTCAAAAGGATCAAAAAGGAAAGACCAGAGCCCACAATCATGAAACTTCTAACTTATATCCAGAAGGAGTGATGGAGTGGCAGATTACCATGAAATGACAAAAACAAGCTGATGATGTAGTGTTTGAAGCTAAGAGCAAAAACTAGGAGCTAATTTGGGCCTGAAAAGATTCTTTGAGGCTGAGCAACAGAAAAGGCTTTTTAAGATTTCTTTATCCCCTTTGATGGCCCATCTTTTTTTCTTTTTAATTTCCCATCTTACTTAGCTGCTTCCAGGTTATTCTCTTGTCCCATTTTATTTCACTGGTGCCTCTCTGACTCTCCGACCGTACCACTTCTTCCTAACTCCCTAGGCAGTTCCTCTTTGTGGTTGCCTTCACCACCTTCCTGGTTAGCTGTGTGGACTATGACATCCTATTTGCCAACAAGATGGTGAACCACAGTCTGCATCCTACTGAACCTGTCAAGGTCACTCTGCCAGATGCCTTTTTGCCTGCCCAAGTCTGTAGTGCCAGGTAAGGCTATAGGTCAAAGGGCACTGGAGTCTAGTTTTGCTAACAGGGTAAGCACTGGAGCATGAGGCAGTAATTCATACCTCAGAACACAGACTCAGGCTCAACCTAGAGGAATCCTTTGGAATAGCAGCTCATCTTGAAGAGCCTTTCCTTAATAAAAGGTTACCCCATATCCTTTTTTTTTTTTTTTTTTTTTTGCCTCCCACCAGGATTCAGGAAAATGGCTCACTCATCACCATTCTGTTCATTGCTGCTGTCTTCTGGATCCACCGGCTTATCAAATTCATCTACAACATTTGCTGCTATTGGGAGATCCACTCCTTCTACCTGCATGCTCTGCGCATCCCGATGGTAAGATGGAAGAGGACTGTTAGCACCATGCCTTAAGAAATTTTAGGCCTGAAAAGATTCAGGGAGGGATAAGATGTATTTCTGGGCATCACCTGTTGATTTCCGTCATCAGCAGTGTGCTAGTCACCATTCCACCACTGTCACAAAATCTCAAAGACAATCAGCTTGTAAAGAGAAAAGGTCTATTTTGGCTTATAGTTTTAGAGGTTTCACTCCATGGTTGGTTGTCCCATTTGCTTTGAGGCCTTCAGTGAGACAGTACATGGCGGCAGACGCATGCAGCAGAGGATCTTATCATCTCATGGCAGCCAAGAAATAGAGAAAGGCAGGAACAGGCCAGTGTTCCCAGTCCCAATATGCCCTTTAAAAACATGTCTCAGATATTTTTTTTCCATTTAAAAAAAATTTATTTGTGTATTTCATCTATACATAATGATGACATCATAGGGAAGTTGTACCTGTACATGATATATTTTGATTCTTTTTTCCCATTCCCTTCGCTTTTTTAACCCCTTTCTCTACGTATAACAAAAGCTTTGTATTTAGAAAAACTTTTTCTTTCTGTTCTTTTTTTCCTCCTTGTCCCTTCCTTGTTTCCCACTTCACCCCATCCTTGTTCCCCTTCTCATTTGCACATTTTCTTCGCATTTCCCAATATGTATTACATACTTTGGCCCTCATTTGCACTTCCAGTTCCTCATACCATAGAAACCATGCAGTGTTTACACATTTTGTTTCCAATT